CGGCTGGGCCCCGGTAATTATCTCACAAACTTGCTTTGTCAATCTAATTTTTTATATCCAACTTTGTCTTTGACATTCGATTTTTTGTTAAATTTCCCAGGTCTATAATTTGTTTTATTTAGAGAGATCAAAGTGGTAAGCAAGATAACGTTTTCGTGAACATAGGTGTAGCAATTACCCATAGCAACTGTCTTTTAGTTTAGTGCTCAAGGTTCTAGAAATCAGAAAGAATCACTGAACCATCACGTAAGTACTTAAACTTCGAATACACACTTCATATAAACCAAGTGCCAAGGAATGTACTCTAAAGTACGGACCGAATTTTTCCGCCCGGTTTTATGGCATGAGCGCAAAGCATGTCAAACTGTTTTAATTATATTATTGCTCTGATATGCTTTGTTACCAGAGAAACGGTTTCTCTGGAGACAAAATTGGTCCAGGGTAAAACTTCGACAAATAAACAAAACCGTGATAAACTTGTCAATCATTTGTTGTTTAAGGTACAGAAAGCGTGTGATTGAACTGAAATCAGTTTACAAGAAAGGCAAAAACTGTCTTTGTTGCAAAATTTCCAATAGTGTTAAAACGATTCAGGATAAATCCTGGAAATTAGAGGTGGAATCCTTTGGCAACTAAGTCGGCCGGCGGCGGATGATATGACTGTTGAGGCAAGCGCGTTCCGAGCCTGCCCCATTACATGACTGGCTTTACTGAAAAGATGACATCCCAAAAAGAGATACCTCCAGTATTAGCTCGTATTTAACTGACCCATGAGTTTTCTATTTGTTTCAGACTCGAACCCATCATACTCAAACCCATCTCAGAGCCATCCAATTTTCCACCTCAATTAGTCACTTAACCGTCGCCATTCCAGAAAATTTCTGACTATTTACCTTGCATTTTTTTTGTAGCAGTAACCTTCAAGAAGAATGTCGGAAAAATCATGGACTAAACTTGGAACATTGTTAGTTATACAATGTGCTACAACAACATGCGGATTTATGATGCCTAAACTTGGGGCTGCAATAAATTTCGCTTGCGCCGCGAAATATTACTGTTGTGGGGAATATATTAAAGCAGCGGCAAGCGCAATATCTGGGGCTGCAAATCTTACCGATTCATCAAGCGCTAATGCAGATGGGACGAAACAGGTGGGTAAGCAAGTTGCAAGGGGTCTGGTAAAAAGGAGGGTTAAGCAAACAGTTGTCAAGTTCACGTTGACAACATGGGAGAATTTGTGGGTTTGTTCTAGTGGTGGACCTGGAGTAGGCCAGATCGTTATTAAGGATGCTTTCCGGTACTTTGGTGAGCCAGCTTTTGTCAAACTCGGTTAACAGCCAAAAATAACACCAATATTATATTTCATTGTAATTTATTAAATTTAGCTGTGTGCGCCAAAGCATCAAACGTTTTGGCGGGATATTGGAACATGTTCAAAGGCTTCAACTTTATGACGAGCCTAGTATTAAGGCATCAATTTCTTAGACGCCAAGCACCTCAAACCCATCTCAAGAGCCATCCAGTTTCCTACCCCATTAAGTCACTTGACCGTCGCCATTCCAGTGTATTTCTGACTATTTACCTTGCATTTTTCGGCAGTAACCCTCAAGAAAAATATCGGACAAATCGTGGATTGCATATGGATCAACGTTGACTTTCAAGCTTGCTGTTAGAGTATCTTTAAATGGTGTGTTGCTTGGATTAGGGTTTCTAGTAGATTTCGCTGACGCGGCGAAAGATTGCTATGCTGGTAATTATCTTGGAGCAGGATTAAGCCTAGTGTTTGGGTCTTTAGACCTTAGAGTTCTCGCTTTCTATACTACTGTTAGTTGTGTTAGGATGATTTATCCGAACTGAACCAAGTGTACGCTTTGTTACAATTATAAAGGTTGAGTGATGGCCAACCGGATGTTTCTGTAACTATCAAGTTTACGGTTGTTTAGTGTTTGTATTTGCTTGATTATTAGGAGTTCTTAACAAACTGAACTAAATGAAGACTTTTTTACAGATAGCAGACTAGGGCTAAGGGGTTAGATTGAGTCATCGTTTAGTTTAAGTTTCAGAATCTATCTATTAATAGTTTTTTTTTTCGGAGGATTTATCAGAACTTAAGCAAATGTGTGCTTAGTTACAATAATGAAGGTTGAGTATTAGCCAACCAGATGTTTCTGTAACTACCAAGCGTACGGTTGTTTAGTGTTCTGTAGTGTTTTATCAAAGTTTGTATTTGCTCGCCGTTGTATTTATTCTCGACAGTATACGTTAATATTAGGAGGTCTTAACAAACTGAACCAAATGTAGGCTTGGTTACTGTTATGAAGGTTGAGTATAAGACAACCGGATGTCTCTTTAAACTACAGGCCTGCACGTATTCAGTGTTTTGTAGTGTTTTATCAGTTGAAAGTTTGTATAGTTATCCTCGACTAGATACATTGATATGAAGAGGTCTTAACAAACTTTACCAAATGTAGGCTTAGTTACTGTTATGAAGGTTGAGTACTGGCCAACAGGATGTTTCTGCATCTATCAAGCTTACACGTATTCAGTGTTCTGTAGTGTTTTATCGAAGTTCTTTTGCTTATCAGCTGAAATTGTAGAGTATCTGGTGAGATTGACTGGTTACAATAATATCTGCACTTTTGTGAAAGAAAGAAAGTCTTTTGGTTGTTATTTTAAAGTATGGCAACAAACTCGCACAACTCCTGACAATGTAAGTTGTTTTCTGAACAACTACCTGGGAATGACTCGTAATTTTGTGGTGATATTTACCGAACCATCAAGCACAGCTGTGAACTTCACTCCCGAGTAACTCACAGATTTAAGAGTTAGCTCTTATTTCAGCCTTGAATTCCTAGACTTTTGCAAAACCATTTTCTGAAGTCTTCCTCGAGAGTGAAATTATTTTACCCAAAGTGTCTAACATAGAGCCGATCTACAGTTGAAGTCTACAGAGACTGAAAAAATTGCAAGCCTGATCGAAGTGTTGCAAACTCCAAGTTACCTAACCAGAATATTCTTAAAAAGGTCATTGTGCTTACAAAGCCTGATGAAATTCCCATTTCAAAGTTTAATTCAGTTTCAATTTAAGTTTCATATACTTTAAAAGGTAACCTGAAACAAATTCCAATTGCATCCTCCAGGAGGGGAGGGGGAGGGGAGAGGGGATAGGAGCAGGTGTGGGCAAGTGCCTCGAAGCTGCGCATAGGCAAGATGTCATACGTCTTCATCTTTGCCTACAAAAAAAGCGAACTGTGCATTGACACAAGCCACACACTAAAAGTTCAAGGCTGATATTCCTTCACATCAACTTTCGAGTGTAAGTGCAAAAAGTCCCAACAAAATTTAATGTACTAAACTTGAAACAGAGAAAGTTTCCACTCCAATCAAAAACCAATCTATTGTACTGCTTCACAGCTTTAGGGCAAAGTCTAAGTGTCTCTTGTGGGGTTTTTGTACATCATTAACCCCATTACCCTCACTGTAACTAAGATATTGAGTAATAAGTATTCCATCGTTTAATTAACACTACACTTCATTAAAGAAGGCAGAAAATAATAATATAAAATTGCTCATACCATTTTGACACACTCAATTTTCAAGATTAAATGTTTGAAAATTCAATCCAGGCAGTAAGAAACTTAAATTTCCTATAAAGTACTGGGTTTTCATACTTGATAAAATAAGTTTCCCAGTAAAGAATAAAATATTTGAAACATGTAAGCAATGGGGACAATGGCAACATAATTTCAAAACCACTCCCACAGTACCCACATTTACTTTTGTCACAGTTAATTTAGAGAACATTTCTTAAAAATTTTCAATCAGAATGTCTAACTGCTCCAGATACAAAAATTGGAAAAAAACTACATTTACAAGTATCAGATCAATCCATGATATGACCAATCCAATATGCTGTGAATTCCATGGAAATAATATGGTCATTTAATTCTCAATACCGTATTTATTTAATGTCCCATGTGCTTTTTAAATTTTCAAATCTTAAGAGTGGGTGCTCATTCAAGGCTCAGGGCTTATTCAATTTTTCACATTTTCAGCAAGTAATAAGTTTATTTTACAACAAAAAAATTGAATCATACCAAACATGAAGATGTACATATACAGTGAATTTAAAGAAAGGAAGTAATAATCAATGATCCTCTCATGCACTTAAGTTTGCTTTTTTTTTTATTTTTTTTTATTTTTTTTTTGTGGGGGGGGGGGAAGCATGGCTAGGTGCTTTTTAAATTTGCATTTCAACAGGGTAGGAGCTTATTAAAGGTTTTCATTATTTCTTTACCCAGCTCAAAATCTGCCATCTTTCTTATTTGGTGTACAAACATGATGCTATCAACAATGCTGATCACACAGGCAGACCACACTATGTGTTTGTGGTTAATAATTGTTGACATGAGACAAACAAAATCAATGAGGGTTATGAATAAAGCTCTGAACATTGCATATCTAAATTAGATCTCAGTCTGAATAACCTAATAAAGTTCAATAAAATGTTAATCCACTCATTTGAGGAATTTTTTCGCCTTCATAGGCTGTTTGAAGTGACTTTTTACAAAATTACTTTTGGCCAAAAAACACAAACCACAAACACATGGTGTGCTCTGCCTGTGCTGATCCTAGCAGGATGCAGGACACATGTCATATAATAAACTTTGTAATTGGCTAGCTCACTGCAGAGTCTGTGGCTCAGTGAGAGAGCATCAGAACGCTGAATCCAAAAGTCTGAGGTTCAATTTCTAAAGAGGACTCAGAATTTTTTCTTTGTCTCACACTCCTGACAGGGTGAAAAAATGTCTTTTGTGGTCACCAGATGTAGTTTCTGAGGATAAAATTTTCAGGGTGAGGTAAGGCAGGTAGGGGAGGGGGATTTTGATCAAAAAAACTCTCTTATGGGTGGGTATGGACATTTTCTAAGACAAGTCAGTAACACCTTTAGGTTGACCTACTTTTTAGCTGGTCACTCAAAGGATGTGGAAGTTCTTGAATTACCAGTGATAGACTGGTGAAGGAGGAGCTCCAGTGTCAGTTATAGAAGCTAAGCTTTTCCCTTCATGGTAACCATCAAAGTCTTTTGGACAGCAGTACTTCCAGCCACGATACAGAACAAGCACAAGCAGGTAAACAAGAGGTACATATGCCAGAAGCTCTACAATCAGACTAAGGCCATTAAAGACAGATGTTGGTGCATCACTGACAATACCCGAACTGAAGCTAACAATCAAGCACAAGTTTGTAAGAAGCACTGCATCAAGTCTGTTAAGGTACTCATACTGCTCATTGTAAGGACGAAGATACAGACCTGTGACTGCAATGAGGACACAGGACACTTCCAGGATGGATCTCTTCAGGGGCCCAAATGGAACATACAAGGCAATCAGCAGGATGTAAATGCGACACAAAAAATAAAACGCTGCAAACCACCTGAATTCATTTTTAAAGCACTTCTGGAAGTTGTCATAGTACAATCTGAAATTTTTCAAATAACGAAAGTGCTTTAAGAACCATGGTGTAAAGAGAAGAATCAACGGTATGAACATAACAAAAAAAATAATCCACAGGCAGGCAATGATGGTAAATGGTAAGTGTTCCTTCCAATCTCTTTTGAAGTCGATGTTACCATTTGCATACAGCACCCATCTTTCTTGTATGGGAACATAGTGAACAATGTTGAATGAAATCATGGTCACATTTGTGTAACACACAACCAACAGAGTGCAGAAGGCATGAGAGACATTCCTGTTTATGTAGCAGGCAGGGCGGCAATTTGCAATCTTGGCCAAAATCACCAGTATGAGAAGAACATACAGTGGAAAAATGTACTTCACACCAAGTTTCTGAAGGTTAGTCATTCCTTTGTAAAAGCAAGTTCCAGCACCATTTATTTCCCAGTTGGCAAGACCAATCACAAAAGAGATGAAGGGATCAAGTTTTTGTCCTTCTTGAAGAAGAAACAAAATAATTTGATAAGAATACAGCCAGGTGTTGAGGTATGTGGTGAAGATGTCCAAATTGATCCGAAACACCATTAGGACCAGCACAGGTGTCACAAAAAAGAATACCAGGGAAAGTAAAATGTGGACATTTGTACATGATGGTCTGCACTGTTCATTGCCTAAATTCACAGAGTAGCCATGTTTGCATGCTCCACACAGAATGCTTGTACCATCGCGTCCTTTAGTACACATTGTTTCAGGACTGTATTGGAAAGTTGGTTTACGTTCAGAGAGATTACAGTAATATGGTGGACAAGGGTATGTGCTGAATTTATTGTCTTTTACTCCACCCCAATATCCTCTCTTTAAGAACACATACTTGGCATCTGAACTACAGTTTGAAATACCTGACTCAACAGAGCTTGAGATACAAGAGCAGGTCTTGCTATCTGTCTGCTCAAATCCATCATTACAATGTTGTAAAGTCAATTTCCCTTTGGAAGAACTCTGCACAACACGACCCACAACAGTGCTGAGTTGAATTTTAAATGGACGTTTTACACCTCCAACAAGATGCAAGCTGTTGATCTTGGGATGATCTCCAAGCACTAGAAACAACTTAGAAGCTGTTCCAAGTTCAACATTGCCTTTGGTATTTTGACTGTGTTCTTCAGTTATGGTTACCTTAACAACACCCAAAACAGAACTATTCTTTTCATCAATTAACTCAACAGTTGGGTCAAAGACTTCACTTGGAGAAACCATCCACTCATTTTCATTGAACTCGATTAGGACTGGATCAGTAGATATTTGTGCTTCACTGCTCTTGTTTTCATCCCGATATAGAATTGTGTCTTCCCACTCCAGAGTTCTGTGGTTTATGCGAGGTTCTCCATCTTCACGGCATCCTTGAAGAGTGGAAGCATACACTGAGTCTCCACCACCTGTTGCTACTACCAGATTACCCTCAAAAACTATTTGAGTTTGCCATTCCGTGATATTCTGTAGACTGAAGCTGTGGTTATAGGCAAGGAAACACTGTCGTGTCTTAAGCTGAGTTGTATTGAAGGCCACCACAGGAGGACCAGAGTCTTTCACATAAATAGCGCCACCTCTCTTTTGAGCAGTGTTGTTAAAGAAGTGAAGGGTGCTGTATGGCATAAGCATTAAGAATGAAAGGCCATACAATCCTAGTGCACCCCCCTCCCCTCCTGTGTTATTTCGGAATGTCACATGACCAAAAATGTACAGCACAACATTCTCAACCACCATTGCAGTATTGTCATTATGTTCAATGTACACAACTCCTTTAAAAATGACTGGTAGGGAGTAGGAATAAATTGCTCCTTGGCCAATGACTTTTTCATCTTCTGTCAATATTATGTGGTTTTTTGTGACATTACAGTCCTCAAGAACAACAACATAAAGTTTAGGTCCTCTTGTGACAGAATTTGGGAGACCATTTACTGCTGCCTGTGTAGACATTCCAATAGCAGAACCCATTGTTGCTGTGTTGTTCCTCCAGGTACAGTTTTTGTATTCTATATAAAGCCCATCACCATTGCCTTTGAAAAAAGATTGCCATTCATAAAATGATACTCCTCCTCCTAAGATGGCAGTATTGTTTTCAAACTTGCAAAGTTCATACTTCATTTTGTTTGGAAGTAACCCTAGCTGATGGTCTCCAGCAGTGGTACCACTTCTGATGCCTCCTCCAGCATACGTAGCATTGTTGTTATGAAACACACAGTCTGTTACTTCAAATGTGTTGTTTTGCACTTTGTCATGAAATTCTATGAAAATCCCGCCACCCCAAATGGCAGTATTTTCTTCAAACAGACATCTAGTCACATGAATAACATTATTTTCTGCTTTCCCATTGACAAATATAGACAAACCTCCTCCTCTTCCAAAGGGAATGTGATCATCCCCAATTGGAAGTTTGACTATTGTTTCATACTGTTGACTTGGTGCACAATTCTTTTTGAACGTACAGTTGTAGAAAGTGTAACTACTGTTGGTGTCAAACTGAGCCAATGTTGTTGAATTGAAATCAAAGGGAAAAGTTCCACCCCTGTAGGTTAACTCCATGTAAATGCCACCTCCTGCAATTGCTACATCTTTTTCATCATCTTTTAAGTTATCCGGCCGATTGTTCTCAAACCGAGAATGTGAAATACGAACCTCACCACCAATGTCGTACATGTTAAGTCCAATTCCGGGACTGTCGACAATATTGCAGTGGTCGATAACAATGTGTTTACAGTACACCAGAAAAACAGCTGAATAAAACTCGATGTGGGGATATTTAAAATCTCTGCCAGTGGTACTTGCATGCAGTCCGCCACAGCCACGCAGCAAGATTCCGCTCAGAGTAATATTGTCGCTGTTTTCAAAAGATAAACTGCCATTATTCCAGGGGCATTCGATGGAAACTATCGAGTACGGATCGCCAACCAATTCGAACCCGTGCAAATTCATGAAGTCAAAATGCTGGCTGAGATTGTACGGCTTCTCTCCAGCTATTAGCTGCACAAGAGTTGAATTAATTACATGAGCTAAGGCATAGTCTAAGGTTTTACAAGGAATTGTTTCATTCCAGCAAGAGCTCGTGTCCACTCCACCATGTTGTGATACTGTAATTCTTCTTTTCCACGTCAATTCTGCACGCAGTGATGGGGCAACTGCTAAAAGGCAAATAAAAGGGATAAAGAAAGAAATTAAAGACACAGCCATCGCGACCTTACGCCCGTATCACTGGTTGTTTTCTTCTGATGCAGTCGGTTAATTTCCAACTTCGCATGTCAACTTCCTCGTTTTCACAGAAATCCCAAACGATGAGTGGCGTGACTTTCGTGGAACATCGCTGATAAACCACGCCGGCTGAGTTCTTGCACGTTCTGCGGTCTGTCATCTCAATCAGATCTGTCATCAATTTTTATTGAGGGCATTGGCCATAATCATGGATCAAACGCTCACGATGTGGTTCCAGGGGCAAATTGGCTCCAATTTCTCCAAGTAAAAGGTTTTTCTCGTTAGCTGCTGTTTTTTTTGGAAGTCATTCAACGACGCATATCGCAAGAGTGCGTGACATCTAAAAACGGCTTTGACATGGACGCAAGAATTCAAGAGCTTGACTTTTCGCGCGTTTATGGAATCAGCATTTTAACGAAATAAGTTATCCTTTCCCTTTTCCTTTCTTTTGCATCAAAAATATCGAGTAACAGAAATCTGCCCTGTATTAGGACAGAGATCTTGCACTTCATTCGGTCGCGCTAGTCTTCTTAGTGGCCGTTGATAGGGATGTCACGGTCAAGTTTGAGGGTTTTTAGCAATAAAAGTGGCATTGCCGAATCAAACTTGGAAAAGAATACGTACGAACTTAGCGTTTCGTATTTTTATAAAATCAGACGTCATAAGCTGGTTGGGTTGTTTTTGTTTTGCGTTTTGAGATGAACATCCCGTAATTCCCAGAAAAGGTCAAAAGTTCCATTAAGACACCTAATCCATGGTTAATACTCCTAAACATGTTTGAAAATAATGGGTATTATTATAAGATAATTTTCTTGCCTTAGATATAATAAGAAGGCTACAGAACCCGTTCATCACTACCAAGGTTTCGTTAGTAATTCTCCTTTCTTTCTGCCATATGATTATTTTAATCTTACTTCGGAGAATTTTGTATCGGATCCACTGATGATCTCCTACCGCGCGCGCACAGAAAAGAAAGAAAAACAAAAAGGCTTTACATGATGAAGAAACCCTCTCATGTTTCGTAACGATAGCTTTCCACAGCTACGATGAGCACGGGTATAGTTGATTCATTTTTAATATTCCTTGCTTCAGTATCAAAATATACAAATTTCTTTCAATATTCTAATCGCTTTAACTAGTACGGGTTCCCAATATAAAATATGGAAAATATATCTTTCTTTCCATTGATATAAAATACTCCTACAAATTGATTATTAGACTAAAGAATTCCTATTAGAAAGGTATGTACATAATATTTTCCTAAACAATTTTCAAGTTTAGCTCGTCGGGACTCGTCTGACCCCGTGACCCCCGAAGGAGAGAAAGGTCACTATTTACCGCCTGTGGAGGAGGGGGAAAGGGTCAGAGAATTTTTTGGTTGTGTCATAATAAAATTTCCTTAATGCCCCTGATGTTATAAAATATTCTACTGATTCTCCCCCCCCCCCCCCACACTGGCAGTCACTTTTCCATAGTCCCCCTTCATACTCTTTGGCGACGACTGAACCCTCTCCCTCCCCATGAAAACTAAATGATATCCCATTCAAAAGCCTTCGACTGT